CCGGCTTTGGGGGAGGCACCCGTCGCCGTCGCCGAGGCTAAGGTATAAACTGAAAATCATTCTTCTACATCTCAGGCTTCTTTATCATTCAAGCTTCCTTCTCATAAAATGATTCTGTTTACAAGATATGTAGTTGCTTTTGATGCTGCTTTTCTGTCCGGGCTTCCATAATTTCATTTTGATGAAGGAGCAGCGGCTTTGTTATTTCTCCTTGTATTGTCCTTTGGCTATCATCAAATTGGGAATTGCATGGACATATGAACCTGAAGTTATTTGATGACGGTTATTTAGTTGTTTCTCTTTGGACGATGTTGATGATCTTTCTCAACTTTGTTAATGTAATTCATTCTAGAATTTGTACTTGGAAACCTGTTTTTGTTTGCTGAAGGGTAAAAAACTTGGTTATTGCATTACTTGGATGTACATCAACAACTGTTTTGTGGTGTTACGAGCTCTGATTTGTGGTGTTTCGTGCTCTGTTTGAGCTTTGATCTGTTCTGGGTTCATGCTAATATGTTAACTTATTTTTGCGGTGTTGTGAGCTCTATTAGAACTAACAAAGAGACTAAGAGAACTAACAAAGAGTAAGTTAGATGAAGTTAGAACCGAACAAACCGAACCGCACCGAACCGACTTGCAACGGTTCGGTTCGGTTTTGAATTGTAGACGGTTCAGTTCAGTTGTTCAAATTTTGGTAAAAACCGAACCGAACCGACCGATGCTCACCCCTACTGCTGAGGCTGCTGCAAGGGCGACAGCTGCATCAGGATTATAATTTCCAATTTTATTTGGAATTTAATAACCATGTTATTTTTAGTAGGTGTCCTATGGGAGGCGAATACTGGCCAATCATCCAAAACATACCCAGTGCTGCACCAAGGAACCCTGTCACCACAAGACCAACATCTGATGGGAGAACACTGACGTCTCCGGTGCAGTGCTTGGCGTGATGGGCCTGATGGCTGTTCAATCCTTATCCATTGTACTTTTCCTTTGTAAGGATTATTTTTAATGCACTTCTGAATCTCTTTCAGTCTGACAGCACAGCGGAGAAAAATTAAGCCACTGTTTTGGAAAAGGGGCATCTAGCTTTCCTTTCTTTCTGTTGTATACAACTCCATACATTAACTTTAACTATATCATCATTTCTTAAGGCTCTATTTGGTTTGATAGAAAGGGAGAGAAAGGAAAGTAAAACAAAAGAGAAAGTGAGTTTCTGTTGTTTTGGTTTGAAAGAAAACAAAAAAGAAAAAAAAAATTCGCTACAGATAGGTATTTTTTTCTTTTCCCCTTTCTCTCCGCTGCCCAGGTGAAAACGAGGAAGCGAGACGGAATCAGTCGCTCAACGCCTCTGACTTTCCCCGATCTCTCACCTCTCTCTCTCCAAAACTCTTCAATCTCCCCTCTCTCTCCCCCCTCATTCTCTTCTCTCTCTGTCTCCAAAATCCTAGTTTAACTTTGCCTAAACCCTAGTTCGACGCCGACCAAAGCTTTGACGCCGATAAAATCCTAGTTCGACGCCGATCAAACACTAATTCAACTTCTTAGTTTTCTATAGCAAATCGAGACTGTAGCTCTCCGATCTGGTTCGATTTTCTCAAATTTGCTGAAGATTAGAGTTCTCTCAGATCTCTGTCTTGTGGAAATGAATATAGCAAAGAAAAAACTCATCGATTCATCTGTTGAGGTAATTTTTATTCGATTTTAATAGTATTATACATTATAGTTGCAACTAGCTTTTGGTCTACAGTTTTTTTTTAATTTGTTTTTGAAGTTGGTGTTCATAGCTAAGGGAGATGATACTAGTTTTTTAAATTTGTTTTTTGAGGTTGGTGTTCATATGTTGTCCTTAATTTCGCTTCTGAAAAGCTTCCTTGAAACGTTATTTGGATGAAGATATATGAATGAGAGAAGTCCTTTTGTAGTAAAAATTCTTGATTGAACTAGCAAGCTAAGAAAATTAGGACTTCAAATTGTTATCTTAGTAGCTTGTTCACGCATTACAAACCCTTGTGCTTCAGTCAGTTGAATCATCGAGCACTTGCACTATCAGTCGATCGGATGGCCGCACAAGGCTGCATATAGCTCCAATAGAATGTTTATAGACCTGCAGCAAATAGATTCTTAGCAAAATTAGATACTTCTGAGAAGCTTGGCATGAAAAGTTTAGCGAAAAAATGTCACTGTTCATCGACGTAGTATGAATATGCATACACATGACACGAATAGCTGCGTCAACACAGTGTATCAAGTAGGCTTTTTTGTCATTCCCACGTGCAGTGTCGCTATTAAAAAGGTACTTGTGGAGTTAACATTTGTTCTCTTTGTTTGACTCATTTCACTCACATTAAAGATTTACCTTTGACTATGAACATTAGGGTTTAGTTTGTGACGTGCTTACTAGAGGAAGTGTTTGAATTTGTAGACAAAAGAAGATGATGAATGTGCTATACAAAGGAAAAAGATAAAACATTCAGCAAGGATTGTGGCTGCATATGCAGCATATGCAGGTGCTATTATGGCGACTAATATCTACCAAGTGGAGTATATAGATAGATATATCTTAGCTCAAAAGATGAACGTAGGAACTGATGGAGTGGCTTACTCAGCAAAGTGACAGATTGTTGTGAACAACTATGCATGGGAGTTAATGCTTTTGCTAGACTGTGTCAGTTGCTTAGGGAGACATGACGTCTTTATGATAATAGACACAGTTCTGTAGAGGAACAAGTTGCTAAGTTCCTTCAAATTCTTTCTCGTAACTGAAAGAATCGAGCAGTGAAGTTCTATTTCATGCGTTCGGGTGAGACTGTTAGCCGCCACTTTCACAAAGTATTAGAGGCATTATTATCTCTTGAAGATCAATTTATAAAACAACCAGATGGCATCAAAGTTCCAGTAGAAATCCAGACAAATCATAGATTTTGGCCTTATTTTAAGATAAAAATACAAAATTATAAATTTTACGGTATAATAACAATAGTTATGTTGCTAAGTACTTTGTTGATCTATTATAGAATTATATTGGCGCAACTGATGGATCTCATTTTCGAGTGAAAGTGACAAAAGAAGATACAAGAAGGTATCGAGGCCGGAAAAAAAATTCCAACTCAAAATGTGCTTGCTGCATGCACCTTTAACTTGAAGTTCACATATGTCTTAGCTGGTTGGGAAGGGTCTGCTTCAGATTCGCGGGTGTTGAACAATGCATTAATACGACAAGACAAAATATTTGTTCCTCAAGGTGATAACTCTTAGGTCCAATCATTTTCAAGATCAAATAAGACCTTGTTTATATAAACACATGCTAACCATTAAAATTTGTTCAATTTTAGGAAAATATTATTTAATTGATGATAGTTTTATGCTGAGGCCGGAATTCCTTACACTATTTAGGAGCACACGTTATCACCTCAAGGAATATTCAACAAGACAACCTGAAAATCCTCGTGAGGTGTATAACCATCGTCACTCTTCACTGCGAAATGCAATTGAGCGTGCTTTTGGAGTCTTGAAGAAGCGGTTTCCAATCTTGGTAGTGGAACAGAACCTCATTACCCAATTGAAACACAAAAGGTATTATATATGCATGTACTATCCTACATAATTTTCTAATGGGTGTTGATTCCGACGAGGGACTTCTTGAACAAGTTGATTAGGAATTGAACCATATGATAGATGTTGAAAAAGCTCCTGTAAATGATAATGAAGAGTATAGACGAGGGGAGATTCTAAGGCAACAAATAGCCGATGATATGTGGAGAGATTATTAGAAATATTTTCATTATTGAAATAAAAATTAAACGCCATTTATTTGCTCATTACAGGAGGCTAAGAACTAAACCTTGAATATTAGCATTTAGAATCTCTGTTCCTTTCTTTTTCTTTCCAGAACTATGAGTTGTACTTGCCTTGATAATTATTGAGTTGCTATTTTTGTGAAGCTAGGCATGCACATATTTGATTCTTCAGTATGAACATGATGCACTATTTGCATGGAACCCTCTGTTATTGTCTAGTCTGGCTAACATAACTTCATGCCAACATTCATGTATACACATATTAACATATGCAATGTTATCTGTGCATGCTTGCATTTGTTTGTGGAGGCAACATTCATGTATACACATATTAACATATGCAATGTTATCTGTGCATGCTTGCATTTGTTTGTGGAGGCAGTATTACCTAAGGGCCCGTTTGGTTGGTTTCCTAAAATCAAAGAAAAGGAAATTAGATTAGGAAATCATTAAAATATTATTTTTCATCCATTTCCATCCTTAGAAATCACCCACATCATCCAATAATATTGTGACAACTCATCTCATCCCATCACTTTTCTTACATTTAAAAATAAACAAATAATAAATGGGTCACATCATCCAACTCATCTCATCTCATTTCCTCTCCTCTCCTCTCATCATTAAAAATCACCCACATCATCCAATAATATGGTGACAACTCATCTCATCTCATTAAAATTTTCTTTCCATCCATTTCCTAAAAAAACAAGGAAATTGATTTCCTTAAAAACCACTCACATCATCCAATAATATATAATGACAGGTCATCTCATCTCATCTCATCTATTTTATTAGTTTTAAGAATGAACCAAAGACAAGAAAAGAATCTAAACAAAGAAATAGGTTTCTTATAATTCATTTCCTTATTATTTTAGCCAACCAAACAACCTCAAAATAATTTTTCTTTAGAAACCACTCACATCATCCAATAATATAGTGACAACTCATCTCATCTCATCTACTTTTTTACTTTTAAGAAGTCAACCAAACACAAGCAAAAACCTATTATAGGAAATAGGTTTCCTATTCTTTAATTTCCATGTTTTTTTTGCGAAACGAACGGAGCCTAATGGTAATTGTGGCTGAAATTTATGTGGCTGAAATTCTTTCCTGCAATAACTTAATATCTTGGAAGTGTACTGTCTATTCACTTCCCATTTCTCTATTGCTAATGATATATTTATGTTTAACAAATAGGCAACTCAGATGGATCCACAACTTGGAAGTCAATCAAGTTCAAAGAAAAATATTGTATGGACAGAGCAAATGGATATTTGCTTAATTGAAACATTGAGAGAGAACAGGTACACAAAGGGCAAAAGCCCGATCGAAGTTTCTCATATCATGCTTATTAAGCAACATGTGCAGAGTTATATGCTAAATGTGGAATAAAGGTTGAAGTGGATCATATTAAAAACCGATAAGCAACATGTGCAGAGTTATATGCTAAATGTGGAATAAAGGTTGAAGTGGATCATATTAAAAACCGATTGAAGACACTTGCTAAATGTGGAATAAAGGTTGAAGTGGATCATATTAAAAACCGATTGAAGACACTTAAAAAAGATATGAGGGCATTTCAAGACATGCAAAATTCTTCTAGTGGATTTGCATTTAATCGCGTAACGAGGATGATGGATGCGGAGCCAAAAGTTTGGGAAGATTACATAAATGTACGTTGAATAATTAGTCATTTATTGGTTTTGCCTAAATTGTTTAGACTTTGCCCTTGGTACTAGCTGACTGATCCATAATGCTTACTTCTCCTTGTATTTTGTTCAATTGTTGCTCATTTATGTGCAAATATATAGTAGAACTTGATCTGGAATTAGTCAGGTTGCAATTTTTTGGACATTATTGAAGCTTGAATAGAAATTATATTTTAAACCTCTGGACTTATATGTATTGTTGTCTGAACATTTGTGTTTTTGATTGCTGGACTTATATAAATGTGTCGTTGATATTCACATGCGATTAAAGTGGTCTGTGAGATAATTAGCATTTGTTAAAAGGGCACGGCATAATTCTTTTTGTGCATAATTATGAAGATAAATATTGTCTTTCTTGAAGGTAAGTAGCTGTTAACTATACATGTGTTTTTTTAAATAGATAAACTTATATATTGTGAATTGTGATGCAAAATTTGAAGTTATATGCATGAACATTGCCATTGAGATCATTATCACTCAAATAGTATTAGTTTTCAGTTGGTGTTATAGATTTATAGTTTTATAACGAAAGGGATTGAAGCAACCTCTTTGTCATGGCGCCCAAGTAATAATCATGTGTGTCGCTCACATCTTTTCTTAGTATGGTGGCATGTCATCCAGTTGCTGTCATTAGTGGGAGTGGCATCAATAGTCCACATGAAGTCCTCTATTGCTGCTGCATCTGTTGATTCTGTTCCCTTGTTCATGCCTCATTTTCTTTTTCGATTTCTCCGTTCACTGCATTGTAGTTTTTGTTCCATGTTAGTTTTCTTATTATCTCTGATTTTAGCATCGTCATCAAGGTTTTTGGTGTTGAGATCACATCTTTAAAAACAGCAGGTTCTAACTGATATGTATTTTTGTGAAAGTAATTGAAAATATCATGTCTGAGCTTAGTTCTCTATTATTGTGACTGAAGTAATAAGTGTTTATCTCGATGTCAATGATATTTACCTTATCGGACACATGCAAGATTTGTCATATAAAATTCTTGCTATCTGCCTTTACATTTGCCATAACAATCATGGGAACTAGAACTGTGTTCACAAAAATCACTTGCTATCAGGTGGTACGAGTCGCCGAGCGAGCACTCTTGATCGCGGAATTATCAAGAGTGGGTTGAGAAGAAAACGACAGAAGAACACAATATAATAATTTGTGCGAAGGAAAATACATTCTCTAGATTATGAGAATCAATTGGATTACAATTCTCTATCTCACAATCTCTCTAGATCAAAGAACAACCTCCCTGATCTCTTTTCTGATTACAATCTGAGTGATCTAACCTAGAAAAGTCGTGTTTCTATTTATACAAAATAGAAATCCTAAACAGTGCAGGAAAACCAGCCCAGGCCCAAAACCCGACTCGCGGTCGACCGCAGAGCCAGGCGCGGTCGACCATGGCCAACGCCCGAGACTTAAATAAGTTACAGGGTTTTGGCGGTCGACCGCCGAACCCATCGCAATCGATCGTGACCAACGACAGAGAGCAGTCTGGGTTACAGGGTTTTTGCGGGCGACCGTCGCACCCATCGCGGTCGATCGTGACTCAGTTCAACCGAATCCTCAGAGCTGTGCACGTTCGCGATCGACCGCCGTGACACTCGCGGTCGACCGTGAAACAGTAAAACTGTTTTTCTCGTGTTCTGATGAATCCTTCGACTTCGCTGCTTCCAACAACTCTGTCCACGACTCTTTTACACTATTCTCAAGATACCATGAGAATCACCTATCCTCAAGCTGCCATGAGGATCGTTAAGCTCCCGAAGAGAAGATACACCCGTATCATGGGTCCCCCCTTTAGGAACTTGAAGTCCCGTTCAAGTTAGAACTTCAGCTGAGGGAACTCGTGAGCCCTTCCTTCTCTGTTGAACCACTTTGCCTTGCTAGGAACCAGACCTTGACGTCCAATGAGAAACGACTCCTTCGTTCCCCGCCTCGTCGTGGTCGTCTTTCGTTCTAAAATGCAATCTTCTTTCAGCGGCTCCTCTCTATCAAACCACAAGTCTTCAACATGCGGTAAGATCACTTTGTCATCACCTTCATCATCCAACAATGAAGGCTCAAACAACTTCAAATACTCGGCATTGATCACCGAATACATGCCTAAGTAAGGCGGCAAGTCTAATCGAAAAGCGTTGTCGCCAATCTGATCGAGAATCCGAAACGGACCATAACGAATAGGCTTCAACTTCTTTCCCTCTCCTTTCAGCCTCTCCTTACTCAATTTAAGCCATACCATATCGTCTTTGCCAAAATTACAAGGAACCCGATGTTGATCATGCTTCACCTTGTATTTAGCTTGTGATTTCTTTAATTGAGCTTCAACCGTGGCGTGAATATTTGCAATCTTCTCGAGAAATCACTGAGCACGTTGTCGTTCACTTCCCTCCTTACCGTTGTAGGCGTCAAAAAATGCTGAAAGATATCCAAATACAGCTCAAAAGGAGGTTATCAAAAAATCAAAGAAAAAGACAGTCTTTACAGTCTCGCACGCAAGACAGTCTTTACGTCTCGATAGAGACAGCCTTACTGCTGATCGCATAGACAGTGTTTACTGTTTCGCATGCGAGACGATCTCAAGAATAGAACTGTTTTTAAACTGACGACCTGCCACCAACTGTTCAAGAGTGGAACGTCTGGCTGCGAATCCGTTGATTACAACTGCAAAATAATAGAGTTCCTTAAACGTGGGCAAGCAGTTAAAAACTCGTGGGGCAAACACTGTCTCGGAAGCACTATTCATCCAGAGGCTATAAATATCTCTTGAGATCGATTTTTGAGCGGGGGCTGAGCATTTTCAGAGCAATTCCAGAGACAGAGCAGAGTAATTGAGCTTCTGACAATTCCTTGAGATTCGAGCTTTGACTTGATCTTAAGAAGAACGATTGTCTTACTTTGATAAGATCTTCGTTTCAAATTCCTACTTCGATAAACGAAGGAAGAATCACTAAACCCCTCACGATTCAATCAGAATCTGTGATTCGGTGGTCTACGAGTCAAAGCGCTCCCGGCACAGGCAAAGATCCCACGCAAGCAGCGATCCAAACAACGATCCTGCGTTTGTTTCTAAAAAGTTGTAATTTTTCTTTTGTTGTGTAAAAGAAGTCTTATAAAAAGGCTATTTCTTTTGAATTTGTTGTAATCGACCGAAGATATAATGAATTCCATAACAAAATCAACTTTTGACGAAAACAAACTGGCGACCACAGTGGGAGCCAACGGTCTCGCTGTCGAGACCGTCGTGTCGCAGCCGATCAAGATACTGGTTGAGTCCATGGTTGAATATAAATTCGACCAAGCAAAGTTTGAGGAATATCTGTCATCCGCATCCTCAAAGTCTTCCTCGCCTCACAAATGCAGGAAGATTTCATCTTCTAAGAAGGTTTTCAAGTTTTCGACTCCGTCGAACACTACAGATGAAGACTCTCGTCTGATTGTTGCTAAGGATTCTACTCGCAACACCTCTGCTCACAATGACTCTTATCTAGTTAAAGAGTCATCGAATCAAAGCCCACCGGCACTGACGAAGAGGGCTCGTCAGAGACAACGTCAGCGCCGCGCTCGCCAAATAGCTAAGGCCTTGGAACAAACCGACGGGGTTCGTTATCACGCGGACCTAGAGTCGAGGAGGCATCGAGTGGTTCAGTTGTCTCAACAACCAATCACTCATATCTCTGCTAAACTAACGACAGATGAATGGACTTTTGTCAAGAGGGCTCGCTCGACCCTCAAAGAACGTATACAAAAGCGTCGTGCAAACGCTGCTCATGCCTGTGCTCTCTTACAACAAAGACGAGAAAGAAACAAGAAAACGGTGGCCAAAGAACCACCAAAACTCTACAAAGTTTGGATTCCAAAGTCTGGAGTTGTGCAAAATCAGTATTCGGAGCCCGTTAAGACTCCGCACCCGCAAGGGGGTGGTTCTAAACGTGTGACTCCTGACATAACCTTGGATCGCTCAAATGCAACAATAATTTGTCCTGAGAATTCCAACAATGATTTACACCCCCAGAAGAAGACGTGTTCGCCAAAAGACATCGTTATGCCTGGGAGGTCATACCAACAGACGATAGGATTTTCCGGCAATCATACCGATGAATCGTACTATCAAGCTGTGGGTTTGAATAAATTTCGAAAGAGAATTATTCGAGAAATAAACTCTCATTGTTCCTGTGCACGACTCATTAAAACAGCATTGTCGGAATATGATTACGCAAAACGAGAAGCCATCCCACGAAGAGTTTCGGTATTCCGCAGTCTTTTCACCGAAATGTCGAAGTCTAAGCCGAGACATTTCCGCAAGAGAAGATCAGCTGTCCAAGATGACGAATTCCCTGAAGTCACCATCAACATGGCTGATAAAGGAAAATCTAAGTAGCGTTCAAATGAATCAAACCCCGACTTTTTCCCGGGAGGAAAAGTCAATTCAAGAATCGCCCAACGGATGTCTCGACTCCAGTTAGGAGCTATCAGACGTAGAGATTACAAGAGAATGCATGAAGGAATGTCCTCGGTGGATGAACTCTCGGACACTTGTTCTGCGATCGCTTCTGATGATACAATGTCTAGCACGGGGCAAACCAAAGAAGTGTTCACAATCACTTCTGATCAGTTTGCTCAAATGCTTCAAGAAGCTTTAGCCAAGCAACGTGAAGAAATTAGAGCTGAAATGAAGACAGAGATGAAGTTAGCTATCCAACAAATGAGAGAATTACTAGCTCAACGGCCTCAACCTCCTGAGTCCAGTCAGCGAGCTGAAGCCAGCCGCCACACTCAGAATATTGTAGATGACAGCGATCCAGAAGTGGATGAAGTCATTATGGCTGATACACCTCCCAATGACAATAACACTGGGGGTGGTTCAACGAATCCTCCCAACAACAATATTAGGGGTGGTTCAATTGCACCTCTTAATAACACTGGGGGTGGCCCAATTATTTCGGCTCAACATCACTCAAAGAGAGATGAATATGAGGATAAGAAAATGCAAGACCTTGAAAACAAAGTCAATGCTTTGATGTCCGCTCAGGAAGTAAAGAAGACGGGTATTCCGTGTCCCTATCCAAGAGAATGTGATTCAATACCGTACCCGGCAAAGTTCAATCTGATTAACTTCACACAATTTGATAGGAATAGCTCGCCTACTCAGCACTTGATTTATTTCAAGTCT